CCACGAAAAACGATAGCCAGCGCTGTCTGCACCCGGAAATCCTGCAACACTCGAGGCTGGGCGCCTAGTTGAGGACGCTAGACACGATGATACCGCGGTCATCCTGCCTCAAGAGCGTCGTCTATCAGACTAGTACGATCTCTTGCCACCATAAACCGGCGTTTGCGCCACGCGAAAGCATCGGGCGAGTACACGCCACGCTGCGCTGGGTTATCGTCCTCACATTCCGCCACCACCATCGTGCCCGTGCCCTGGCATGCGAAACGACGCGCATATATGCACCGCGGAACGTAGATCCGGTAAGTGCCATCTCGCCGCGTGTACCTAGCAGGCACATTGAAAGCTCGTTGCTTACATGTGCAGATTGAATGACACTCGCGTAGCAGGCCGCCCGTGTCAGTGGTCCTCCGCACGTGCACTATACTCGATAGCCAGCAATGTGTCTGTGACCGCCTCTGGGACAGCGCCCCTCACCGCGTAGGGCTCATCATGCATACGCTGCGCTTATTGGCCCCGCCTTCGCACTCATTTGTGCGGAAGATTTGGCCACACCGGAGTGAGTTTGCCTAACAAATCTCGGTACTATCTGCGCTGAAAAGCAAAAAGGTGTCGGACTCGGGCGTTGCGTGGGCAGAGGAGCGCCGTCGCGGCTGAGAACACTGTATGATGAGCAGCATCAGCGCGGCGTCGGACGTGGCTATGTCCACTCGACACGTATCGACGTCCATGACGCTCGTCTTGCTCTACGTATCGCTGTGCGAATACACCTACGGTGTCCAGAACAGCATAATGCGCACCGAAGGTACTGCTATCATCTATAGCCGCGCGTGGTACGTGCACGCACTCACTACGCGCCGCGGAAGGGTAAAATCGTAGCGAGAGAGGGGTAATGGACCACCGAGGGGTATGTAATCGTTTCCTCTGACCTGCATCCGCTCACACTGCAGTGCTTATACATCTCTTCGAAACAGCTTTGATCGCACTGCGATGCATCTGTCTCTGGCATCCAATTCCACGTACGTAACCCCGCGGGCTTGCACACGTCTGCGCAGACACAGGACGACTCGCCGGGACGCACGGGACGAACCGCAAAGCGAGATCAGGGACGATCCTGCGCACCCATCGACATTGCGCAGCTGTATAAGCTACGGCGCCGGCTGCGTGTCTCCCACCACCATCCATCCGACGACGTAAGGTCGCAATACAGCACTCCATTCAACGCAACGCGACTCGGTGCCGGTTACACAATGCAGTCTAACACGAATCTGGCGCAGACGTAGCCCGTCATCTGCATCGCGCTCGCGCCCTGCTCCGTGAGTCCTACGCTCATCTTCCCGCCCGTATTCCCCCGCGTGCATTGAACGACGTGCCCTCACGCAGTGTCCGATTCATACATGAACTGGCATGCAGGAGCTTACGGCGGCGGCCGGGTGTGTTGTGCCGAGATCTGGGTCGATGTCCGCCGGTAGCTTTCTGCGCATCCCCGCGTGTGTGCACATTGCGTACGCCGGCGGGGCACGATAGACCATCCTCATGCCGGTTCTTAGTGTACACGACAGGGCATTATCGCGCTGCCGAACGTGTCTTGCATTCGATGTCCTCCGCACGCTGCGCATGTAAATACTTAGGCTGCTCGTCATTGCGGACGTCCGCGCGCGTCGAGAGGAAGAGAGGCCATGTGCGTATGGAAGCAGAAAGCGGCACCATGCAGGTCCGCAAGGTACGCGCCCAACTCCCGCGCGGTACACATCTAGGAGTAGGGGTACGCGCTCCCCATGTTCGCGCTCAGTAACCTGTATCGTAGATGCCGCGTGCGGTTCCCGTCATACTATGATACATGCATTGGCTATCACGACAGCTGATTCGAGGCATACCACCACTGTGAGTATAAAAATGTCACGCGAGGGCGTGGTTACCCTGTGAAGCAGACTATGAGGAATCAGTAGATATTGACCCAAGATAGTCCAATGCATACCTCTGCGACGTGAAGACGGACAGTCTTCGCATCCCGGGACCTCGTCCTCTGCCTCACCGAGTATTTGTCGGTGTTATCGTAGTCCACGACATTGCGCCCTCGTATTCCGAAACGAGAGATCAAGTCTAGATCGACGGACACACTGGCCGGGGATCATCGCTGTCCACGTACGTCGCGGCGCCATTCGAAACTTGACGAACACAGCCCAGCGGTGTCCGAGCGCGGCAAAACGCAGAGGGTATCTCCGTGGTGCCCGGTCTCGAGAACTGCATCGCGGTCGCCCGTATTCGCGCGATACCGATCTACCGACGCAGACGCACCCTGATAATTTTTCACAGAAGCTTACGCAGGGTCGCGTGTGTTCATGCTGCTCGCGGAGAGGACCCACCGCACCGTGCGCTGAAGTCAGCTATGTATGCGGAGTGCAGATCGCGGGGCGTACCTAGAAGATGTCGAACGGGAGCCCCACGTTGCCGATTTCGGAGATGTCGTCCGAGGACTGCGCGACTTGTCAGGGGCGACTGCATGAGTGCAGATCTGGTGAGATGCTGCGGCACGGCCCCGGTCAGTCGAAACCTCGGGTCCATCCAGTTCTACGCCGAGTTGTAACACGCGTTCTGGGTGAATTCACCCACGCAATGAGTGTATCCCTGCTCATGTAGCCTTAGGAAACGCTTGACCCCAGGTAGAGCTGCCTTGAACTTACTTGCGCCGATATCGTAGGCTGATTAGCATGGCAGAGGGTACTGGCGCAGAGGTTTAAAGCGAGGTGCACGCACAGACGGCCGCTTCCTAGCTTCCGTAGAAACGTACTGTACAAGTGCAATCATCGTTGGGCTGGCGGACACTCTTGCTATGCTATGTGTGGAATATCGAGAGCTCGAGCTGGTCAAAAGGGCGTGTATTAGCATTCATGGCCGCTACGACTTCCATAAGGATAGCTCGTGAGTTCTGTGCGACGTACTTTTCCGACTACGAGTTGGACTGCGACGAAGAGCATCCCTATAAATGGCACCTGCTGTAGACCTTGTGCACGCTTGACCTGGCAGTCGCTTGCTAAACCAAAGTTCGGGAGGTGTGGAGGTTACGCAAAGCGCAGCTCGCATCTGTGGGTGCTATTCGTGTGGCGAGGCTCCGTCTAGTGCGCCATGAGTTCATTGCGGCTTGTAAAAGCGAGTCTAGGTAGCAGAGGGTGAGACGAAGAGAGACAGGCAGAGTACGATCGCAGACCTCGCGTAGGCGCCCGCCCACCACGTGTTGTGTATGGGCCAAACAAAGCCACGCGAGCGCTTCAGTCCGCTCGAGTCGGAGTCGCTCTCGCCAGGTCGTCGTCCGTCTGAGCGCGGCTTGTCTGACCTCCGACCAGTCAGACTCGCTGTTCGCCTCCCACACCCTCGCAGTACCTCCACGACCTAGATACGCCCTGAATCTGCTCTTGCTATACCCATACCGCTTTCCCTTGGGGCTCGCCTTTCCTCCGGCTCGACGCGTCCGTCGCCGTCTTTTGCTACTACACTGCTGCTCGTCTGCACCCGCTCTCTGCAAAGCTCTACAGTAAAGCCTCCCGCCTTCCTACCCTCCTTGGCCCCTCCGAGACTTGCCGGATGCATTAGCCGGCACACATCCATAACACTCGTGTCAGCGTTTGCCTCCCGGAGCCTTCACTGGCGCCGCAATCGAGACCTGCACTGCCTTCCTCAAGACGTCCTCAGTGAGCATTTTCCGGCTTGCACGTCCACTAGAGTCCTGAAGAGCACACCTAGGAGCATCGCCGGGCGCTGGGTACGACGATGTCGCGGACATCGCCGACCGGTTCGTCGTCTCTGGGTTGAGGATTCTTGGATGCCGATCCGTGCTCCTTCCGTAGTTTCTCGCTCGTGAGCTTCGGTAAGTCGTTTTCTGTGCTACGTTTTGCTCGGCGATATGGATACCAGCTACGATGACCGTGGATATTTCTAACCCCACTTGCGATAGAAACGACATATCCGTGGACACATCATCTACGTCTTCCTCCGCGTCGCTGAACCGCCTCTCCTGTGTATCCCTTAGATAGCCTTGCCGATGCCTTGGGACAGCGTTAGGCGAGCACAAGCCACGCTGCGCTGGACAACGACCCTCAAGACACTATGGCATTAACATGCTCTGGCAGATCAAATCATGTGCGGCTATAAATCGACCGGTGCGGTAAGCATGCGGACGCCTACTTAGAAATACATTTTTTAATGTGCGTTGTCACTTATATGCGCAGATTCGGCGACACGCACGTCGCAGGCGGTCTTCGTCGATGTCCTTCGGCCCGTACACTATCATCGACTGCCGTCAATTCCCCGCCGCATCCACGCACGCATCACTCA